AGACAGCTCCTTATTATATCATATCAACATATTTAAGCAATGTTTTATTTGAGTAACTTAACAAAATTTTCATATTTACCAGTTTTAGTTAACACGCTATTTTAGGTCACGGTTGACAGATAGTTACATAGACTACTAGCTTTCACTGACATTATAATGGGCGACTAGTAATGCTCTTATTCACTCAAAATATGGGGCACGTTCCCAAGTGTCTCCACTAATCCTTACCACAAAGCCACAAAGGAACAGTCTCTAGATATTATATGATAATAAGATTAATGGGGAACTACTCGTGGTACATTGGGCTATTCTCGTGTCTCCTGTTGAACTGTTTCCGTCATTCGTTTACGAACTTTCAAATTTCCTACCCAAAGGGATCCACAAACTCGTTATTCTAATGACACCAGTAATTAAAGTAGTTTTATCTATTAAAAGCAAAGAAATGCTAATGCAGTGGGTAACTAACAAACATTGAACTGTTTTTACATATTCAGATATAAAGAGGCTGAATAAACTCACGAGTAATTATGAGTGCACTGCTGTGATTCATGGATATAAGCGAGTACCCTTCCAACTATTGCGGTAGCCGAATGTTTAAAGCTTCTTTTCCCTGGTGAAAATTTGAAGACTGTATAAACAGCAAAATTTACTGGATCCGTAAATTTCGAGAGGGCTCTTCAGTTGCCACCCCTTATTGCATACCAGGATGCAAGTATATAGGGCAAATTCAAAGGCAATTGGCCACCAGAGCAAAGAAACTTTTACCTGGCTAGTTGCTTAAGAAAGAAAAACGAACTCCTCGCACGTCAATCACTGAACACCTGCTAGATACGGGCCACTCCATGGACCCTAAAACCTCCTTCCGAGTACTTGTTCAAGCACGAACAACTCGCACCTTACGCTACCTAGAGGCAGCCTACATAAGGCGGTTTAAACCCGACCTATGTAAACAATTGGAGCATGTAGTGAACCTAACTCTACCTTGGTAACACTGGCTCCTTGTTTCACATTCCCCTCCCCAAATTTTCTTTCATTTTTGCCTAGACGTTTTTTCTCCAGTTTTTGCTGTCTACAGCGGTTTAAATTTCAGCTTTATCGAATGCCTCTGCCAGTACAGTGACCTTGCCGTTTTTTAACGATTTTTCTGTATGAATTCACTTGTGTATTTTCTCTGACGTTCATTCCCGTTATGCAATGAGGGGTGGCAACTGAAGAGCCTCTCGAAATTTATGGCTCCATTAAATTTTGCTGTTTATACAGTCTTCAAAAGTTAACCGAATGATTTGAACCCCATGTCGAGAGATGTTAAAAACTTAAGAATGATTAGGTAACTTCACCCTGCACAGGCGTTTTCGAAAAATTTAAATTCAAAAACTCCCAAACAGTGGTTTCCAAAAATGCTATACCCATCTCGAAACAACGACTACAAGGTAGTATCTGTTAAACAAACGAATTAAATAAGCATCAACTGAAGAAAAAACGGAGGCTAAAAGTAAGCTTCCTCTTGCCGTTGAAGGCGAATTTAGGTTGCCATCTTAAAAAGAGAATAAACGCCGGAGCTGAATAGCACCTCGCAGAGACTTATCCCCAGAGAGTGCGGTTGCCGATGTTTTTATAAAAATCCATTTGATCAATCGAATTCGACGTATGAATGAGTATAGGTTGCGTAATCTTCTGGCCATTATCTCAAGGAGCATTTAGTATTTTATTTTCATCAGCATAGTAGATCCAAGTACTAGGTTTGACAACTGGTAAACTGCCATTTGAAAAGAGCGGAAATGACAAAGCTATAGGACAACCAGTAACACGGTAATAGAGTGAACAAGCAGTTCAGCAATGACGAGAATAAGTGTTCTCACCGGCCGTTTCACTACGTCACCGGGGCACGACGGGTGCGTGCCGGCGAACAAGTTTTTTTGCGAGCGCAACAAACAGATGAAGATAAAACTATCGATCGACGTCACGGCGTCAGTAAGCCAGAGATTTAATCACAAGCGCGCAGACAATGGTTGACGGGCTTGCTAGGCAGACCGAAGACGACATGGATAGTCGGCAGCACTCTCGAACGCGACTCCGGACAGCTACGGCAGCACCCCGCAACTTGACCCAAAGTGAGTGTAAGAGCGACGCCGGAGGTTAACTGCAATGTATGTAGGAACACCTGTTTAAGTAGTCGGTCAGGACAATGCACTCTACAAACTTTGCAAGTGATGCCAATATCTGTGTCACAGAAGCTGCGGTCTACGTGGGTGGGGGAAGGAGCAGGTGGTGTACCCATTGCCACTCTGTCAACTTGTCTATACACTTGGCCCTTCTGTCTATACGGGCTATTCTGTAGACCCCAAAACATCCTTCCGAGTACTTGTTCGG